TGGTCCGGGAGGACCCTGAGGGCCGGTCTTTCCGATTGGGCCAGTGGCACCTTGGCGGCCACGCTGACCTTGGGGTCCATCGGTTCCCTGATTCGTAAACAATTTGAGGTTATACGGGTTCCATTTATACCAAATTCGCTTTATTAGAATGACCCATTAAGGCAAAATGGATGGTTCCTGAATACATGGTTATGCACAGCAAGATCCAAATTCAGCCGTATGCCCTTACGGATCCGTTGCCAGGCCGAATCTTTTAACATCTCTGTCTCAAATTTCAACACAAAACTGAAACAATAGTCCATCCTTGGTTCCTAAGATCTCATATCTGCCCCACCTGGCTTGGCTTATCAATCGGTTCTTTGACTGACAGCAGCTTTTCACCAGGGGCCCTTATTCGATTGAGAAGAATTTAATGAGAGCGATCGAACTACATTGGTAATAAAACAGTCCTTAGCGAATTGATCATGCGAGTAATACTCTCCAAAAGAGATAAGGAAATTCATTTGATCGAACTGTGCAAAAGGTGGTAGCCTCGGTGTATTACATCAAAGCAAAGCATGATTACAGTTACCGATTTAATCATCAGATCTACGAGACTGTACCCAAGCCTGGTTCTTGCTGTCACGGATTCGAGGCCTACTAAGGCCGTCAAGTTTTCAAACTTGGGTCAAACTTAATATTCGAACCTGCCAACAACATCTATTACAGAAACGTATTTCAAAGAAACCGTGCTATCACTCTTGAACTGTGCATGTATTCCCGTGTTCTGACTAACTTCGAAATTCGGTTATTCATTTGTGGTAGATAGACGCCCACCGATCGAATACGGAATTCACCCGTGTTGCTGTGCCTTGAAGCTTGTTTGCGAGCCTACCTAGTAGCTGCTCAACGTTTAGCACAGTATAGGCAGAAGTACATTACCGGCAAAGACAAGGGAGACTGGAATGGTTTCCCTTCCGGCCTACCTTCTCTTTGTCAGGAATGTAGTTCTGTTTATACGCTTATTTATGCAGATCTGTGGACAATGTACCACCAATCATCTTTGACGAAACTACAAATACTTGTGTCTATGCGTGGCCTGGTTCGATAGCTGCAGCCCCAGTTCGATCCTTTAAACTACTTAAATATCTGCAAGAAGAAGACGACTCGATGGCTGGGACACTACTTTTATTCGCCTGACGTTTCGGCATCCGTCGCGGATTCATCATCAGAGACATTAGCAGAAAACAGTAGCAGAAACGGGTCTGCTACGGTTTCTGCTGCTGTTTTTTGTTACTGTCTCTGATGATGAATCCGCGACAGATGTCGAAACGTCAGGAAAATAAAAGTATTGTCCAAGAGATCGAGTCGTTTTCTTCTCAATTACATCCTGGGACTCACAAATTCGCTTGTATTGGCATCAAATGTCTTCATTGTGAAGTTAAAAACTCCAGCGCAGAAATACAGAAAGGCGAGGCTGTGAATGAGGATTTTTGTCGGGCAGAAGTGAAGGAACAGGGTACCACGCGTTACTGAACACCTAATCCTGTGAAGCAACCTATTTCTCGGGTTTAATCTTTCGGGGAATTAAAACTGATGAAAACCGTATACTCAGCCTGTTGGACTCCACCCTTTGACGGTGGAGCTAGAGTATGTGCCCTATTAAGACCCTG